CCACACATAAGGCATCGGAAAGGAGCCGATGTTTGTGAGTACTTGGATAGATGTGACCCACTGTATTAGCCCCACGCTTTCCTGGAACGACTGGGAAAAATCACGAAAACCCTCAATAACTATCGCGAGTGTCCGGGCAGAAATTCGATCCAAGCAACACCCCCCCCCCAAATACGAAGAATACAGCGCTATCGCTTTGCTAACCCGCTTGGTGAACTGTGTACTACCGTAAGACTCTTGATTTCAGGCCAGACTGGGAAAGTAACTCCAAGGAGTCGAGTCCTTCTTGAGAAGCTACTAGTCGCTCAAATGATAAAGATATTTCTCGCCTTTTAAGCATAAACAGGTCACAAATGGATATAAAACGTAAAAAAAATGTGATATTCCAACCTGGGAAAGACATTTATTTCTCGACATATCTTCCACCAACACTGATACACTTGTCCCATCGCTTTACCGGTGCGTCGAAACCGCAGCATAGAAGTCTTTTGACTGTTGTCTCAGCCATTTCCGCACCTCCGTGTCAACCTCGACACTTGCCAGCAGTCTGAACCGCTTTACGTGACAAACACTTCCCGCAATAAACAGGAAACATTTCTTTACGAATATCCTTTGCAGTGAGTCATTTTGCCCACGAAAACGCAGAAAAGAACGTTTCTCTTATGGAGTAAATTCTCAAGCACTGTCGCCATTTTAACTACTGAAACCAGCCTCTGAACATTCGCATGCACGTCTGCTACCTAGACTGTCATGAAGCTGGACTGTGCTGCTACCTAGTGATATACAGAGAAAACCTGTTACTGTTTTACTTCCATTTGTGACCTGTTTACTGACGCCCCCCTCTTATTAACACCCGACACCTTACGTCTCCGTCTTCCAAACAGTCTCATCCCTCCAGCCTTTCTGAACCAACAGTTTGCATGTCTCCCCATTCTACATGCCCTGCCCATGTCATCCTCCTTGACATTAGGGTAGTCAGGAGACTGAAGCTGAAGTTCAAGTCTGGGCGCGAGTAATTGAAATTTCAATAATTGATTCTGTGTATAAATTGCTCTGGATAACGCTATCGATTGAGCCCTAGAAGTTGGACAGTACTTAACTCCTCCAGATGTGAACTTCATGGGCACGAAGTTGACGCTTCCCGACAGAGAACTCCATTCGTCATTTCGGCGGTTATTAACAAAACGACATATGAATGCCTGTCACTGGGAACGGAAATCCCTCCGCAGTGGCGCTGATGTCGCGGAAAGTGCCAAGCACAGGGTCACAACATGCCGCCCCCATTGATGCATATAATGGGACGGGGGGGGGAGCGTGTGAAACACGTTTGGGCGGGGGAGCAGAAACACTGTCCTGCTTTGAAGGTTCCCAGGCCGCTTGTGCTTCTTGTAGAGGTACATTTGAAATAGGGTAAAACGTTGGGAAGTGTAGCAGGTGAACGTGTATGAATAGAGAAAAGAACATGAACTGGGCTTTACGGCGTGCAGTGCAACGTGCATTTGCTGTAGGACCGAGGAAAACCACGGGAAACCTTGACTGAGTTGGCCGGTCGCAAGGCTTCTATCCCGCACTCTGGGATTAAACACGCGAACCCTAACGTCAGTCCTTGTCTGGCTGTTGCTTTGACACCTTTACCTAGTCTGTACCGTGTGCGTACTTCGGACGGACAGTTAGCCCGGATGCGGATACTCAGGATGGCAAAATGATAAGACGCTGTTCACAGCCGAGTACATACTCTGAAAGGCACATGGGGTTAGAGCAAGAGGACTTTCAGACTGTGGTGAGGGCAGCTGGAGAGACTGAAACCGCGCAAGGAAACATCCGAGATTGGATTCAGCTGGATGAAGGAGACCATGGATTTCGGATTCTTGTCTTTATATAGTTTTTCAAGGAAGGCTCTACAGTGATTTTTTTTATTTATTTTCATCAGCACTATCTGTATTATTAAATTCTCCATTTATTTGTTTCTAGGCTTTTGTTGGTCTTTTATGGCTATCTTTTGCTCCGCTAATCCGGATGAAATTATTGCTGTCTGCTGAGAACCACACGCGTCACACAGATGCAACAGGTGGGAAAAACAGAGCTTCTTGTTACTACCGTAGGCGGTATGTATAGTTACCAATGTGCTTAAAAGCGACATTTCAAGCCTCGCTCTTCCTTGTGTCTGTTCTTCCTGCGTCACCTGACCTTTACTCAGAACAAGTGCGACACTTGTCAGATGCGCCACTGCAATGTGACGTCACCTCATCTCGGGTTCGGCGGGTACATCCACTAGAAGAGGGCGCTTATCTTACTTCTCCCTTCCCTATAGAACTGACCCTTCTTCCGGTGCGCCTGAGTATTCTACCCTGAAGATGGAAGCAGCAGTTTCATCCGAAACGCTGGCAAAAATCTACTAGACTACACGGCATCACACCCCAGAAGACGGTAACCTTCACAGTTACGGTCGTGAGACTCAAACCACACATTTTAATATTATTCTAGGTCTGAAACTACTTTCTTCCTTTCAGATGTTTTCAACTGTTATTTTCGAAGCACTTATAATCTGTTCCATGCGTGCTACATGTCCCCCCTTCTTACCCTAGCACCACACATGCAGATACGCCGCATAATAACAGTAAGCCCATATTCTGGGTCGCAAATCTAAAACGTATGCTGGGCGTCGCGACGGAGCTGCATCTCTTTGCTGACTGCAGTTCCCATTATCAGTCATAAGGACGGGGGCACTGTGGTGTACTGAAGGACGCAGAAAGCAAACAGCTCCAAACCTCTTCCCTTTTAACGGAAGTGTACAGAGTTCAATTTCCCCCACCCGTCGGTCGGGTCCACAGTTCTCATCCCCCTTCCGGCTATTCTTCACAAGCCGCAGCGCACTGCCATATTTGTTCGTCCGTCCGTCGCTAGAAGTTATCAGGCAATTCCAATTTGGGTTAAAATCGAACAATAACACGCGCTTTACTTAAGGTCTACACGCNGGGGGGGAGACACGCGGCTAAGAGCACGAAAGTCGCGGGGTTCGTTTCCCGATGAGGTCATTACATTTTTCAGTTGACCTAATCTGTCCAGCCGCACTATAGGCACTACGGCCTCTAACAAGAATCTTCCTGGGAGTAAAGGGCGGCCGGTGTGCATGGCACACCTGAAGTGTGTGTGTTCGTCTGACGTAATGCATGATTGTATTTTATATTTTCGTGCACTTACCTTCTGCAAAGGCCGCACCATAGCTCAAGCGGTTAGTCGCTGGCTTCCCTCTGCGGCGGCCCGGGTTCGATCCCGGGTCTGGTCAAGTGGGATTTGTGGTGGACAAAGTGGGGCTAGGGCGGGTTTTCTCCAAGTACTTCGGTTTCCCCTGCCCATCTTCATTCCACCAAATTCTCCATCATCATAATCACTCGGGGCAGGCTACAATAGGCCAATCAGTGGCCGGCGTGCCGAGTTGACCCATTTGGACTTCAGACCCCCACTAAGCGAATTTTAATTAATTTTAAAATTTTACCTTCTGCAATGGAAGATAATAATACCGATCTTGTCACAATATGGTGGTAGCTAAGACGGTTGGGACGGCGCGAGAAGAGAAGACGACGACTATAAGGAAAATATGTTAATTAATTTGTTTTAATTAAGGTCAATTTACTTAATCATGAAATACCGCGTTCACGCGCGATAAGAAATTCTGACATACAGTGCAACAATTTTAGCAGGACAGAAGACACCTCATGAAGGCCGTATACAGTAGAACCATGTAGTGTGGCAGAAGGGCGACTATACAGTAAGTTGCATTTAAGACGGAAACATATGTGAAATAAATGATATATTAATGCAACAGGATGCTTAGGGCAAGAAAACATTGGGTGCGTCCCTTCTTCTGTGACAACTTAATCTGGGGCGCTTATATTATTTCGAATGAACTTAACCTGCAGCCAGACTCCTTCGTCTCATGAGAAATTCTTTCCCAAGCCAAATATATTTGTCCTGCCTAGCATAGTCTGGTTGGCGTTTGTCATATATACCAGGCTCTTGCTCAATTAACTGCACAAAAACAAAATTGGCTGCTTCGTCAACCTTTCGTGCCATCTTAAGAAACAAATGAATAACTGAAGTATGTTACAGAACAGCTGACACTCGGAAACCGCGCGGCAACGCGACTGGCATGCTCCATTGCCTGGAAGTTGGGTTTCTCAGAATTCCGCGAGTTGCGTCGCCCTTTCCTCAATTTGCGCTGCTCCATTCAGTAACATGTGTTCAACTCAGGCTGATAACAATTCTCGCCTTGCGGTTGCGTTGCAGTTGCCAGTTTCTTTGGTGTGCCCCAGCCCTATGCCATAGAACTACATTTGGTCGTCAACTTACGACCGACTTCCGTTCTGACTAACAGGTCGTAAGTCGATCTGGTCGTCTGTCGGCCATATATTTATTAACAGTATGTTTTAACCTTTCTAATCTTTTTATCTTTATAATTTATTTTTAAAAATTTTACATTTTAATCATCTCTTATTTTTTTGTGGTCGTAAGTCGACGAGAGAGTGTATACTGAAAGTCCTTGCACAGATCCGTCCATGTGTCTTGTCTGTCTCTGGCTTCGTACCACTTTCTTTACAGACTCACTACAGCAGACGTGCACTAAACCTTGAAGAGTCGTGTCTTCCGGGATATATCGCAGTGTAATTCGCTGAAAGTCGATGATGTTTCGCAGGAACATGTCGCTTCCATCATGAGGGTCGAAAAGTAAGCCAAGCAAGAAACCAACGTGAAGCTGGCAAAAAGCAAAGCTTATGTTTCTCCATAGCGTCGGTTAGCTTTTAACGGACTACAAGGCGTTATACCCCAGAAGACATAACTCTTCCCAGCCACCGGGGTGAGAACCTCGGCCATAACGACCCCAACAGGGCCACTTTCGACCCTTCGTGTACATAACAAACGATTAATTAGAATTAATAGTGAGGCAAGCTTACTGAACTGTAGGAGCATCTCAATATAGAGATATGAAGATGTGGGCTTACCTTGCCGGGATGTCCATGAGTTCTCCCAACGTGGGATTATGACGTCTCGTGGGAACGGCCGCACTGGACTTGGCGGGGCCGTCCACTTCGGCCGCGTTGTTCAGCACATAGTCAAGCAAATCACTGAAGTCGTCGTGCGGTTCCTGCCCCACAGTCGCAGCTGCCACTTTGCGTCCATCAGCCCCGAGAACACTTCCGTTGTGCCCACCATCTTGCTGCTGCGACGCTGGTACACTGTTGCTGGTTGTGGCACCACCAGACGAGATCTCACGAGAGCCATTGTTGCTTCTCTGCAAGAAACGCTTGCGGAAGCTGTTATACGCAGACCCCGGGCCGTCCACACCGCCGTTGCCGAACTTAACACGGCCGTGACTAGGAACAAGATGATGTCCGGACATGCCCAGGTCCATCTGCAGATCGACGACCAGTATGAGGGTGAAGAGGACAGCGGTGATGCTGAAGCCGAGGACAAGCCGTTCCTTCAGCTTCATCGTGTAGAGCTTGAGACAGCAACTAGCCGAGCGCCTTGCTAGAGCAGGCGGTCTGGTGCGACGTTTACTGCTGCCGTCAGCACTTGACGCTGCAACTCGAGCCGAGCACTTGGCATGATTGGCGCTTGTCTTGCACTTCGTGGTCGCCCAGCTCTTGTCGAGAGATAACGCTGATCTGGATCTGTGAGACGGTGGAGGGGACGGCGGGGGAGGAGAAAACTTGAGTTTCTTCGGCGAGTTCGTGCAACTGCGATTGTCTGGTGTAGCTCTGTCGCTGATCGGCGATGATATCCGGTGGTGGATTATTGTTTCTGTGCTGGTGTCCCCAGACGGTGACTGGTGAACATGTCCTGCCACAAGGGGCTGACCAGTTTGACTGGTCGTTGCCCATCCGGGCAGTAAAGTCACTTGAGGCAACTTGATTATTGTTGGATAATGTCGCACCAATTATCTGTGTTTCTTTTAGGAAAATCGTTAACGCTGGTGATTACTAAGCTCTGTTGTGATGACTAGAGGAGGGACGAAGATGAGGAGGGGAGGGAGGAAGGTTGTGGACGAGTAGGGGGAATTATCTCTAACTACCACTGCGCTCTGTTCAAAAGATCAACACGAGAACTGATAAGCGCTGCCAGTGTAATTGAGAGAGCGAGTTACAGTTGTGTCGAGGTTCAGTCGAGGTTTGAGGGAACGGGGGCAGTGAAGAGAAAGAGAAACCATCCAGACTTTATCCGCTAGAAGCTCTGAAACTCTTGCGGAATCTTCGTCAGTTAACGAAGCAAGTTAACTTAGTTTACTTGGCCTGATGTCTGCTTGCCGGTTGGAGAAGCACAAGCCAAGGGAGGGGTTAACCTTTATAGATAACCCTTCCTTCACTGTTTTGTTTTTGTAAAATAATTTTAGCTTTCTGTTCAACATATATACATATGTAGTTCGGTCTTATCGCCTGAATTACTAATGCAATTGCTTTCGTGGCTGACAATTCGCAAACACTGCACGTAGCGACTGCTGCTTGAAGCAACAGGAAGACAATGCAACTCACTTATCTAGGCTGGTGATGTAAAACGGCTACTTTGGGAAATTATTAAAATAAAAGTACCTAGAGGACTGCAAACCGATTCCTACCGTGGAAATGTTTCTCGTTGCTTCACAGATGTACACAGTGACCTACTTCTGACAGTCTCTTGTCTTTCTGTCTCTGTCAGCTTATGATTCATAACCGACGCTGTCATCAAGATGGGGTTCGAGGCTACTGGCTTCCCACACGAGTTCACGGAGAATGTCAGAGGCGACGTGTCGGCTGTTCTCACCATTCAACACAAAATCAACAACGAAACCACAACTCCATCCATGGATGGGCCAACTGCAGCGAACTGCTCGTCCTGCAAAGAAAAGAAACGCCATTCACTGTAAAGTTGGCAACCCTTCGAAACCTGCTGTTCATCTAAATAATATTTAGACGCTCAGTTCTATCTCACAGAAAACACAATGCGTCTATGGTACAAAGAGAAAGCTGTTGATGCTGTTTACGGTCAAATCATAACGCATACTCACATACATGTACACTGCTTGGCAGAGACGCACTGAGGTTATTTCTGGGTTAACCTTTTTTTTTATTGCTAGTGGGGTGGGACTAAGTCCCTTGTACTGCGGCCACTTCTGGCCTACTGTACCAGCCCCAGATGATAGGTGAGGGTGATTGTGGAGCAATTGGTGGAATGAAGATTGGCAGGGGAAACCGAAGTACTCGGAGAAAACCTGCCCCAGCGCCACTTTGTCCACCACAAATCCCACTTGATCAGACCCGGGCCGCCGCGGTGGGAAGCCAGCGACTAACCGCTTGAGCTATGGCGCGGCCCTGGGTTAACCTTACGGATACATATACCAGTGCCCTCTTGAGATTTAAATGTTGCTCCATTTTATGGATCGCCGTAACAGCTACACAGGTTCACTTTTAAGCTCGAAACTAATATTTCGTCTCAATCTCAAAGAAGACTTGAAATTGCCTTTGAGGGGTTCCCTTGTTGCTTCAGTTCGGGCATTCCGCTGCTTTGGTTTATTTCGGGGGAGAGGGGTCCGTTTCATAAAACGAATAGCTCTGAAGTAGACGGGTAAGGCAGAACTGGAAAACAGTGGTCAGCTGAAAGTGAAGGAGAAACAGACACAGCAGAGTCTAGAAGAGTATGAGTAGGGGGGAGGGGGGAGGTGTGAGTCTGTGAGAACAATCCCATGAGTGTTACATCACTGCAAGCCGGAAATTACGTACGTTTTGTAGCCGTTATTATTGCTCTTGCGATATTCCAATGATAACCACGCGCCTGTCCGTGACACCCCCCATCTCTTGCATTGCGCCCCCACACACTGCTCTAAATGCAAAACAAAAAGTGAGTCAATTAACTCTCACAATAAATGTCGCCGTGGGAAAACTGTAATTCACCTTTATGACGCGATCCCAACGACAACTGCAAATAAAAACGTTTCTGTGTGTGGGTTAGACAACAACGTTGTCAGTGTCCAGACTCCACACCGTCGAATGGGAGGAAAACTAATGAATTGGAAAGGATTTGCAAGGAACCGGCTGTAGCCTCAACAAGGAACTAGATCGATATCTGCCTCAACAGACTGATAAAAACTATGGAAAACCTCACTCAACCAGTGCCCCGGCCGGGATTCAAACCCAGCACCTCCGGAATACAGGTCTATAGTGCTACCGCTATGCCAACCCGCTCGATACATTAACAGATCTTCTCGTCTCTCTGACCTATGTAACAAAGAAGGAACCACTGTTGGGATCTTCACGAAGTTCAACACTGGAGGCTGTCCCAGAAATTCTGGTTAGTGTGTAACATGGTACACTCGTTGGTCCTGAGGTTCTCACAGCGTTGACAATGAAGAGCGCAGTCTACTGAGGTTTAACACGTCTGGCCCTATTTGTCGCCTGCTTATTCCTGATTTTTTTGATCGCTCTTCGACCTTGAAGAAGGCAACGATAAGTTCCTCCGAAGCGTCAGTAGACTTTCTACCGAACTACACAAGAGAGACTTGGGGCACTTCACATGAAGGCCGCATGTACGTGTGTTTCTGCGTGCATTTCAAACGTAATTTGCGAAATATTTATCGGGCCGAAACATGCGCAGTAGAAGAACAGTTGCAGGGAAACCTGGCACACGCAACCCATCATCCGCCGTACGTCTTAACGGTATCCGAGATGCTGAATTTCGACGCTGGTAGCACATCGAGTAATCACTGCGCTTTCGACAAAGCAAGCACGTGTGGCCGCAAATAACAAACGCGGGGAATCCCGGACAGGCTGTGCAAGCACATGCTTCGCTATCAACAGAAACCTCGTCAAATTAGCGTCTGCCGTTTGATTCGCTGGTGGGTCACAACATTACAGAGAGGCCTGGCGATGAGGTAACGCCCTGGACTCCTTTGGCAGGTGCTCGGTTCGAATCTCGGCTATCCTGAGTGAGGTTCTTCGTGGTTTTTCCTCTGGGCTTCTCTGCAAATCCTTTCCAATTTATGTATCAGTCGACCAACAATATATAGCCTAGCTACTAACAGCGTCTTCAAACACGCCACAAGACGTCACACCAACTACTACTAGGCTATGTAACGAAGCAGGTCATCATCACGTGAACATGAGGGCGTGGCGGTGGTGGCACCCTTATTCCGTAGTATTCGATCAAGAACTAAAAAAAGTATGAAAAATATCGGAGACAGAACTCTGGCAGCAGCCTCTGACCCAGCAATTTTTCATTTCAGATCACTACGCATTACGTAACAGACGCGTCTACGCTACACGTGGAACCAGTTACACAAACATGGACCCTTCCTTTCTGGGGGGGGGGCTGACAGGAAGAAAACTGCAAAATGAGGGTGGGGGTCATAATTTCTGCTCTTCACTCACCACTGTTAGCGTGATCAAATCAGGGGCGATGTGCTGGACACGCAGCAGGCATGGGAAACATGATAGATCCATATAATATTTTGGCCGAAAATCCTACAAGAAAGAAACCACTTGGAAAACCTTGGTGTGGATGGGAGATTATTATTAAGATGGGTCTTAAAGAAATGTAATTGATTGTATTGATACGGCTCATCACGGTTTACAATGGCTTGCTTTCTTGAACACCTAAAGGCGGTAAATTTCCTCATTGCCTGAGCAACTGTTAGCTTCTCAAGAAAAGCCAGCATTGGTGTAAGGTCCCTCCTGCAGTAGTAATATGGCCCCCCTAGACACTTCTGCCCGAATTCCTATAATCTGGTAAACTTAAAACATGTCACAGTGATATGACGCCGTGTAGGCCGGTAAGTTTATCGGCGTTTCGGAGAACCGTACTGCCTCCACCTTCAGAGTCGAGTAAACCAAACTGGTAACAGCAAGACGCAAATTTTCTACCGGCCACCGTTTTTGCTGTTGCTTGGCCAATTATTCTACCATGAAAATGGTGGTCCCACGTTCCTCCGAAACGTCTGTGAATTACCGGACCACACGGCGTCCCAGAGGACAGTAGTGTGAGAACCTCAAATCCATGTGACTGACAGTTCTTTGCTATGGTTCTTTCTGTTCGATACCCTTCCTGTACTAGTGTCCTGGGGGCAGCTGGAGTACGCCGCTTCTAGCCCCGAACCACCCTCTACACCCTTCACCGCAAGAACTAGAGGAACTTGAGAACTGTTCGATTTGGTGCACTCTGTGGAACGATTCGCGGCTGAGATGTGAGGGCCCTGATTTATCGCGACATTTAATTAGTTGCGAACTGTGCCACGAGAGTGCATTCTCTGTACAAACTTCTAATGTTATCTGCGGTTCAAACCCGGCTACCAACCACCTGGAACTTACAAAATAAAATTCCGTACGAATAAGCTATGAATTGGCCATATTTTTACATTGAAGCAGTAAATTAATCTAAAATACAATAATTCAGTTTTCCTACCTCAGAGAAACCGCACTTTGTCTCAACTATAACGACCAACCGATTGATCACTGTCTTGTAAACGGGTTTAAGTGTTAGCATTACAAAACGCGGTATTTAATTTTATAAAATGAAATTACACGACTGTAACACTGTGACCCTTACTTCATGCTGACGAAGGCATTATCGGCCGTAGTCATCATTGCGCTGGTCTGGGTCACGTGACACGTCTCTCTCGTCTCTCGGAAGTTCCAGTAACATGCCGCAGAGAACCGTGGGCTGTTTTTATTATTAACGTGTTCAATGTCCCAAGTTCCCGCTGTGTCTGTCTTTACTCCGATATATAAACTGGTATGAAAACAAACTGAACTGTTTCTTCGAGCAGTGATCTGGGAGTTACGACACTTTCAGTTCAACTAATTACACGGGCCACAGCAAACCGGTGGACACACAAAGCACATCGCACTGCAGCACATGCTTCTGCGTGGAGTCCATGGCCACTTCCTGCGCACAGCATCCGCACTGCCCGACTGCCTCGGCGCGACTGGAGGGGAGAGCAGTTGATCCGTGCCAGATATCGGGCGTGCGTGGGGGCCTGGGGGGGGGGCGCCAGCAGTCCGCGGGGGCTATTTCTGCCCGAGGTGAAGTTAGACGAAAGGAGGTGGGTGGGAGGGTGGCACGAAATGCCAGCAAAGAGAAAGGGAAGAAACCGACGGAGAAAGAAGTACAGAAAGAAGTGAAATGTGACGCCGTGTAGTTTGGTAGGACATGTACCACCGTTTCGGAACAGCACGCTGCATTTACGCTTGGTTTATCTGGTGAGGCTACCTCACACATTACAGCGTCTAATGGGAGGATCAGACTGAACGATTAAAAGGAAAAGAAAAACATAGAAGGCGTAATTCTGAATACTGTCCCGGTCTGAGGAAAACCACGGAAGTGTCGGCCAGGGTAATCGGTATCTCGCCGAGAGTAGAACAGGGAACGCCCCAATGTAAGCCAGAAGTACTGCCGCTTGAGCTAACTTGCTCAGTGAAGGAACACAACTGGATCCATCTGCAGGACTGCTGACTCGAGTTACGCGACGTCACGTGACAGACCTGACTACACGGAGGCACAGGCTTCGAACATGTGAGCCCAGGCTCGGGAGCAGGTACTGTGCTGCTTTTGCGGAAAGTAACAGTTTGGAAGGGGTTTCGTGTTCCATGTGACCGGTTCGATTCTCGGACGAGGCCACGACTTTGACTTTCTGCAACAGCTATAGAGAAATGCCAGTAGAATCTCGTTTCTACGTAACTCTCTTTCGTTCTTATTGCGTCCACATGTTGCCACGAGCACCCTCAGACTGTGTTCCACTGCTAGGATGTGAGACCATGTTTCGCACCCACTAGAGAATTAACCAGATTGATATGCTCCATGTCCAGGGGGCTTAACCGTTTAAAGCACAGTGGTAACTGTACATACCGCCTGTTTTGACATTAAAGCACTCTTCGAGTTTATCCTCACCGTGTATTTATGTATTGCGCACGACTGTCAGTACAAACAGTCTAAGAAAACACATTGCTTCTCCATTACAAAAACCAGCCGGTTGAAGTTGTTTGGGAGAACAGTCGCTGTTTACTGTGAGAACCATACGGAACACACAGATACACTCTGTGGGCAGAATGCATTGTTTCAGTATTTTCAGCCCGTACCTCACAGGAAACATTACGTCTCCGCTACAAAGCCCAACCGGTTAATGCTGTTTAGGGAAACAGTCGCTGTTTACTGTGAGAACCACACGGAACACACAGACACACTCTGTGGGCAGAATGCATTGTTTCAGTATTTTCAGCCCGTACCTCACAGGAAACATTACGTCTCCGCTACAAAGCCCAACCGGTTAATGCTGTTTAGGGAAACAGTCGCTGTTTACTGTGAGAACCATATGGAACACACAGATACACTCTGTGGGAGAATGCAGAGTTTTTTTTATGTTAAAGCAGGTGGTACACATAGTTACCACTGTGCTTTATAGAGCTAGAACCCTCTCTCCGAGCTCGCTGGGTCCATCGCTTTGTTTGCCCGTACAATAACCACAGAACTTTCCATAGTACGGTCAGTAGGCCGCTGCAATGAGGGGTACAACAAGAGGCGGTGTGCTAATCAGCTTGTCAGTGCTGTTAGCACTTGGAGCCTTTCACTTATTCCTGCCCACAATGAAGTCAGAGACAAACAAGACAGACAAGGGGAAGCTATTAGGTGAATTTCTGAAACCTACGAAGATTTCGCTTTCAGTACTTGTCTAGAAACTTCCGAGAGTTTGTTCTCATGCCCAATGACGACAGAGCACCGATTGGTTGCTAACGTTTAGAGGCGTCTCGGCTTCGAGCGCCTGCCCGTAGCATGCGAGGGAGATCGCAGAGACCTCATACATATCCGAAACGTCCTGGTCAGAAGCTCCAGCAAGATCGCGATTTTGATATGCACACGTCTTAATTAACCCCTGAAAGTACACTGGTAACTATTCTTACCACCTGATTTTGTGTTCCAATCATATATTGAAATAGAATAATTGTAAAACTGTCCCCGTGCTTAAATAATTAAACACGGTGTCATGAAGACGTATGGGGGACTGGAGGTATAGATCCAGCATTCTCGTCCTTAGATGTGAGTGGTCAGCTTCACGCTCCGGTCGCTTTACCCCAGGTACCCATTATATAGGAGGCTGGGTGGGCCCCAGAACAGGCATCGACAATGTGGAGAAAAGAAAAATATCTTTCCCATGCCGGGAATCGAACCCTGGTCGTGCAGCCTGTCGCTTTACTGACTGAGCTATCCCGGCTTCCGAGATGGAATCTAGTGATTTTCTAATGATGACGTAAGAATCCACATCGCCGTGTGATGACACGCTGAAAGACGTTTCGGGCAGAAGTGAGCTCCGAAACGCAGGTAAGTTACTTCACCTTGCCTCTGCGAGAGCTGTGCGCACACTTTCCCGAGCTGTACACACAGAGGCACACGTGTGCCGATTCCCTGGAGAGAGCGATTATACGCTCAGTGCAACTGAGCCGGGGAAAAGAGAGATATCCAGTTTAATTGCAATTCGAAATGTAAATAGTTCTGTGTTTGGTTATGGGCTGAACCACTCTTAGCTGTACGCCCAGTGGAAGCAGCGGTCATATGAAAATGTGAGAATTAGGGAGCTCATTCTGATTGGCCGGGCGGTCGGGGTTCAGCTGCCGGTGGGGTACCGAGATAAGGGAGCGAACGTCTGAAGCTCGGGATCCTGCTGCGGCACGCGACAAGGCGGCCGGACGCGGTCTCACGTCATCTTCCACTTCTGGTGAACCCTAACCTTCAAAATGGCTCGGAAATAGAAACTACCTCCACGGTCGTCGTCTTTCTCCTTTGTTCGCATAGCGACGTGTACAGCGTGTAGAATATTCGCATGCTTGAAGAACGATGACTTCGCAATAATTTGGAAGGAAGCGTCGTGGTCTAATCAAGGACCATCCCGAAATTTGCTTGGAGGGACTGAGGAATACCACAAAAATTCTCAATAAAATTTCTGGCTGAGACTGGAAATAAAGGCCCCGCAAATGAAAATCTTGGAGCTGGATTTGAGGTTCTCACAGCATGCAGAGTACTTATCGTGGGATGTGACACCGTTTAGATAGGTAGAAGTCACCGACGTTTCGGATGTACCCTCTGTTTCCATCTTCAGGATCGAAAACTACAAGCAACAAACCAGCTAGAAACAGGCGGCAAGCCTAGAGCGCGTTACCGGTAACTAACCTGTTCGGCAGTCCTAGCTTCTTAGTTCAGTTTGTTTGTTCGTTTGCTTGTTTAACGACGCTAGCAGTAATCCAGACTACTCGCATATAGCGCGGAACTAAGGAGGCTCTCGTGCCCTCACTCAAAGTGCCCACTCGGCATTGATCGGAAAAATGTGTCCCTCTGCAGAGCCAACCTGCCCCCTGCTTGCCCCCCCCCGCAGAACAAATCCTGTTATCCTAGGCCCGTCTTGTGCGGGCAGATCAAATCAACTTGTCTCCCCGCTCATTTCAAATCATCAAAGGAAAGCCATGATAAGGTAACGTAATTTAAACACAAAATTGCAGGGCAGAATAAAAAGAACTGGTTCAGACATCTCGTACGGACGAAGTGGATTTCAATTGCGGTTTGTTGCGGTGGTGAACTTTTCTCTTGTCCTTCTTTGCCTTGCATTTAGGCTGAAGGACAAGACACTTCATCCTGTTTGTGACGTCAAATGAACCCTGACAAGTGCACCGCGCTTTCCGTCCCTCCTCCCGCGCGCGTCAGGCACAAAGCGCACCCCTGCGGCGGGTCGATCTGAGGCTATCACAGCGGTGATGACGCCGCTACCGACGTTTCGGAGGAACCTGCTGTCTCCACCTTGAAGCAGCAGTTTCTGCACAAAGTGTGTGACGATCCACCGGACTACACGGTGTCACATGACAGCAATCTTACAGAAACATGGTGTGGGCTGGATTAAAATGGCTCAGGATAAGAACCTGTGGCTGACTCCCGTGAACATGGCAATGACCTTGAGAGTTCTTCAGAATCTGGGTTGCAGGTCTGGTCCCAGCGGCAGGAAGTAACACCGTCCCGTGGGTCCCGTGCTCAGCGCTGCATCACTTTCATTGCAGCTGTTCCTCGTGCTTTAAGCTAGCATGCGCTAGTAGTTTCGGCAGTTCGGTGGGGTGGGACTAAGTCCCCTGTACTGCCCCCACTTCTGGCCTATTGTACCAGCCCCAGATGAGAGGTGGGGGTGATTGTGGAGCAATTGGTGGAATGAAGATTGGCAGGGGAAACCGAAGTACTCGGAGAAAGCCTGCCCCAGCGCCACTTTGTCCACCACAAATCCCACTTGACCAGACCCGGGATCGAACCCGGGCTGCCGCTGTAGGAAGCCAGCGACCAACCGCTTGAGCTATGGGCCAGTACAGTAGCTTTCGGGAAATATAAGCTACATCGGGCGAAACAATTCGCGAGTCCTTTCATGTCATTTTATAGCTTACTGTAGGTGTAGAGAGGCTGTAAAGCTATTTAGGTTCCTGCTGTCACCGTACAGCCTGGTAGGGACCTGCAACAGCGTGCAGAGCTGCAATATTCCCTCCTCGCGGTATCACCAAATGCGATGACACGACACACTTCAGTTCATTAGGCAGAGCATCAGAGCCACTCTGGTTGCCGGGTACAGAGAGCTAATTTGTGGATGCAGAAACTTGATTGGCTACAGGGGCCGGGGAGGGAGGGGACAGAACATGTGTTCTACTGAGTTGCCACCACGCCCAAGCACCAGTTGCATGTGCAACCACCTGCATTTGAATCATGAAATATACAGGACAATAAGAAAATATTGACACTTGCATGCGATTCGATCTGTAAACACTCGTGTTGCAGTCTCTTATATGTCAGCCTGAGACATCACCATCTGGGCTGGAACCCCGCACCGTTCCGGGGTTTGGCTGGAGGGACTCGGTCCCGGTTCCCTTCTTCACACCGAGATATGAAGCCGCGACCTTCAGAGG